GCCACGCCCCTTCTCCCCCAGGGGCCCGTCTTCGTCAGGTCCCGCCTCCAGGCAACGCCTCCCACGCTCGAGGGGCCGCCCTCAACGCCCCGCCCAGTCCCCGCCCACGGCACTCGCGCCACTCACAGGCCACGCGCCGCTCACGGTGCACCAGATCCACGAGGCCCTGGAACTGGTGCAGGTAGACCTTCAGGCGGTCCAGTGTGAGCTTCCAGCTTTCGGGGTCCTCCAGGGGCTGCAGCTGGAGGATCGTGACGTTGGTGCTCACGCCTTCCAGCACGTGCGTCAGAAGCCCCCCCAGCGACGCGTTGCCCTGGTACCACACTTGTTGGGGGTTGCGGAAGTAGGAGATCTGGATCATGTGGAGGTTCCTCGGACCTGGGGGCAGGAGTCAGCATGTTGGGCCCTGGCAGGCGTGGGAGGGTCGCCTTGTAGCCTGAGAATAATAACCCTCTACCCAGAGGCCAGCCGCCCACCTCGGCCCGTCGTAAATTATAAAGCTTCTTCCCACCCTGCCTCCCGTTTGACGCTCATAGTAACCCTGGCAGGCAGGGGCAGGACAGGGTTTATTATCTTCGTTTTACAGTAGAGGAAGCGGAGTCCCGAAAAACAGAAGCAGCTTGCCCCAGGGTAACCCGGACAGTCCTGGAAGAGCCATGCCGAACTCTTCCCTTCCTCCTTCTTCCCTCCATTTCTGGCTGGACAAATCCTGGCCTTCGATGCAATCCCGATTCCATCTCCAGTTCTCTAACTCCGCTGCTGCCCTACTTCAGTCCTCATTGCCTCTCACCTGGACTGGAGTAGTAACTTCTTCCACATCCCCCTTCCCTCATTTTTCAGTTTCACCCCTTTTAACCTGACCTCCATCTGACCTAGAAATAAGATCATCCTTCTGCTTAAAATCCTCCAGTGGTACACTCCTCTATCAACAGCAATAATCATGATGGCTATTAGTGCTTATTATGGTCTGGGCCACTGTACTTTACACACATTATTATCTTATTTGCGCCTGCCTCCCATCAGCTTAATGTAGTAGCTACTGTTATTAACCACAGTCCGTATGGGAAACAGGCTAAAATGGTACAGAAGGGCCAAGGTGTGAATGCAGGCAGTCCGAGTCCAGCATTCTTAGTCACTCAGTTATAGGATATTTGTCCACAGAATCAAGTACAAAGTCTTTAGCCCAGCATTGAACACAACTGCAGACTGAGCTGCAGCTGCATTTTTGCCTCTTCCCTGGGCTTAGATAATATCAGACTACTTGGAGTTCCTCATGCTGCTTTTCGGCTGACGTGAAGAGAATGTCAGGGTTGCTTTGCCTCCTGGCAAACCTATAGTCATGCTTCAAGACCCAACTCAGTTGTCCCCTCCTTGGAGAAGCTTTCCTGATGCCTCTTCTTTTTACTCTTCCTAGCACACTGGGTCTATTTCAGTGTTCCCAGATTCTATGTAACTGTCTCCAAACACACAGGCTGCACTGGGCTCCTCTGGCTAAAGAATCATGTCTGGTTATTTCTGCCTCGTACACCCAGTAAGGGGCTGGCACAGAGTTGGTGCCCAGAGAATGATCAAAGAGAGAGTGAAGCGTCAATCTGTGTGTGTGTGGGTGAGTCTTGTCCACATTTGCATTTGAGAAGTTGTGCTCTGTGACTACAGGTGTGAATAAATAAATCTGTGTGCACACCTCTAAACAAGGTTCCTAAATACTCTGTGCCCCAGTCTCCTCTGTAAAACGGAGATAGTATTACCCACCTTGTAGAGATATTGCAGGTGTTAAATGAGTCAATACATGTACTAACCATAGTGAGCACTCACTGAATACTGGCCATTATTTGCTGCCTCTCTGAGGAGGACACTGAAGCTATAGAGACTGGGGGAGAAGGGAGAGGAATCCCCTGTCAAGTACAATGCAGGGCAAGAAATCCCCTTCTGCTTAAATGGAGCCATTTCAGGCACCTGATCCCCCACCCAGGAGCTCTCCTGTTGGTCACAGCTGCTCTTGCACCCGAGTTCCACCTCACCAGCTGCCCCACCTTCCTCTACCTCATCCAGGCTCCTCTTCTGCCTCGCACATCTCAGCCCATCTTGCCCCAAGACTGCCATCGTTTTCCCAGTGTCTACCCACTCCTTCCACCTCTATTCTCATCTGAGACTCTTGCCATCTTCCCAAGACTCACCCCTATCCACTATCAATTTTAGTTCAACTTTATATTTGCCTACAGAACAATCATTCTAACATAAACTTAAATTCTTATCTATGTATTTAGACTTCATCCCATCTCCCCCCTCTCCCCGAGGCTAATTCCCTACCCTTTCTACCTGTCTTTCTTCTATTTTTCCAGTCCTGTTTCCCCACAACCTTCTCCATCACCTCCTACCCAGGGGCTGAACTGTACTTTCTCACCTTGGCTTTGGGACACAAACCAGTCCCCAGGACCTTGCCTGCCTTGCTACAGAGAGATGCGGCTGGCTGCAGACCCAGACCCTGTGGGGTCAGCTCTCCTCTGATCTTGCGCATTTCCCCAGACAGGCTGAGAGTCTCCAGAACCATCCAACTCACCCTCTGAGGCTTCTCCGCCAGCAAGGGACCAGCCAGGCAGGAGCAGGAGAGGCAGCAATGTTGACAACATCCTGGGCCTGAGGTTCCTGACCCCACCTGGCCTCCCGGTTTTGGCAGGCTGGGGGCTCGGCTGACTGCTGCCTAGGGGAGAAAGAAGTGAGGACTGTCTGGAAGGGGAGGAGGCTGAACAGAGGCTGGAGGGTGGCCAACGAAGGACAGGAGGAAGAGGACGTCAGGCTTATAAAGTGTTATTCCTACCCTGTCTCATTTCCTACTAAGGGGCCGGCTTCCCTCTTGCCCTCCCCCTGTCCCGCCCTGCATCGGCCCTCCTGCTCAGACCTCCTCTTTTCCAGGCCTCTCCCCTTTGGAGGAATAGGGAGCAGTGGAAAAGGGGGAGAAGGGCTCAGAGGCCCTGCCCTCGATGAGTCAAGGGGTGGGGCATCTGCTTTTAACTTAGAGCCAATTCTGGGGTGTAGATATCCGCAGGTTACTGAGGCTGAAACTGAGGCCCAGAGAGGTGCAGGAACTTGCCCAGCCTAAGGTTATACATCACAGTGGTGACAGGTCTGGAATTAGAATTCAGTTTTCCAGCATGCTACATTTTATGAGAATTTAAATAACAGCAGTTACACAATCAGGAATCTTGCTCTTAGGAATAGTCACAAAATGAGCATAAAGCAGCTCACTGCAGCATTGTTTGTAATAGAGAATTATGAACAATCTAAATCTCAGTAGAGGATTGGTTACTTAAAGCAATACTTTTCAAACTGAGGCCACATCTACAGTGGACAATGAAAACAATTTCGCAGGGTTTTTGGTTTTGTTTTTTTAAATGGAATAGAACAGAATAATAATTTTCAGTCCATCACCCTTGGCCAGGGTAAACATTATTTCATGGAATATTTGTTCAGTTGTATATGTGTTTGTTGGCTGTGTGTATATGTTTTTATGATAGGTTTTGGATAGCTGTCTAAAATGTCTCTCATACTCCAGGAAGCAAGTAGAAAAATTTGGAAGTTAATCCGTACTATGGAATACTATGCAATAGTTAAAAAAAACCCCACCTCCCCTGTAATTCCCACTCTATTTTCATCATATTACTCAGCACTACCTGAAATTATATTACTTATTCTTTCACATTTATTGTTTGAATGTTCCACCAGAATGTATGAGTTTGGAGACTTCCATTGTCTACTGGGCCTTGAATCATGCACATCATAAATTATATCATAATAAATAATAAATATCAGCTAATGGATGACTGAATGAGTTATGATATGCATAAATCTTCAAAAGTAAGTTACAGAACATTATGTACAGTTAAGAACCATTTCTGTGTCAACCACATACATAACAACTAAACAACCTGTTTTTTTTATGGGAATAAATGAATCTGGAACGATGTACATCAAATATAGTAGTGATTTATCTCCAGGGAGGGGCCTGAGATTGAGAGAGAGAGAGAGAGAGAGAGAGAGAGAGAGAGAGAGAGTGTGTGTGTGTGTGTGTGTGTTAGGGGTAGCAATCTCATGAGAGGCTTCTCACTCTTGTGTGAAGGGTTTCATCACCCTATCGGTATTGTTTGAAAATTTTGCATCTAGAATGTGATCATATATCACTTACTTAATTAAAAATAAGAGTTTAAGTAATGAATTATGGTGGAAGAGTATGGTAAATCATTATGAGCTGATGTATTGTCATGAGACATTGGTAAATAAAAAAATAAGGGTGAACAATACATAGTTACATTATTTTTCATTTAAAATTTTACTTCTGTCCAAGTAATACCCATATAATTCCATTCTCAAATTGAAAAAAAAAAACCTAACTATGTGTGTATCTGTGTATTTGTATGTACATAGGAGAAATGCCTGAACCGGTACTATCAATGGAGATTACCTGTGGGGAGTGGGTTTAGGTAAACGGTTGAGGGAAGATTTTAACTTTTGTTTTATATATTGTTCCTTGGAGGGAGAGTTGATGTCATAGTGGAACTGGGGGCAAACCTGGATACACCCCAGGCTCCCATTTTCTGAACTGAATACTGTGTATGCAAGAGTGTGCTCACCTCTCAGCTACTGTGAACTAGCTTAGAAATAGCAAAGAATTTTTCCAGCTCAGTCAAAATGGTCTAGTCAGAAGAAGAATGGAGCCTTGTTTTCCTGGACTGGCACTTAGGAAGAGTAGGACTTAAATCACTGTCAATTAAATTGCCTTGCCTTTTATTAAAAAAAAATTATGAAATAGGTTATATTTGAAAAATGATTTCATGCTTGAAAAATTTCATTACAAATTTTCATGTCCCCACTACCCAGCATAAAAAAATAAATGACCAGTATAATTGAAGGCCCCCATATACTCCTCCCCAATCATGTCTTTCTTCCTTGACATCACTCCACCACCAAGTAACCACTAATCAGAATTTCTATTTTTCATTTCCTCATTTCTATATGCTTTTATTACATATTCATGTAGCCCTAGGCACTATGTTCTGGTATTCTGCATATATGAGCTTTAGAAAAGTGCTTCTAGAGGGCATATATTCTGCAAGTTGCTTTTTTCACCTAACATTAAGATTCATCCATATTGTTATGTGTAGGTCAACTAATTTCCACCACTTACAAATGCCTTCTTATATGTAATATGAATGTACAACTTATATGTATGAATATACCATAATTTATCCATTTTCTTGTTGGTAGATATGAAAGGGCTTTTCCAATTTTTTGTTATTACTACAAGCAGTGCTGGTATGATATTGTACACATTTTCTAGGGTCTTTGCAGGTGTGAACCTGGGAGTGGAACTGCTGAGTCCCAGGGTATAGGCATCTTTAGTTTTACTAGAAATTTCCAAACTGTTTTATAAAATGTTTGGGCCGATTTATATTCGCAGGTGCACAGGAGAGTTTCCTCGCTCCTCATCCTTGCCAACCGTTGGCATTGTCAGATGGTTGGGTGTAAAAATGGTACTTCATCTGGTTTTTACTTGGCTTTATACAATTCCTAGTGAGTTTGTGCATGTTTTTGCTTTGCCTTTTTCTCGCTTGAGGGCTGGAAGGATGCTTTGGGCTATGATTGTATATGTTTGAGTGTATGATTGATTGAGCCAATTTGAAATTGAGTGCTGTCAGTCTTCAGTCTGCAGGTAGGGCCAGGGTCACTGGGGTTAATGTGGGTCCACACTGCCATCCACAGAGCTAAGGACAGACAGGTCCTTCCCACCAAGCTGAGCTCCGACATGGGCTGTAGGGCAATAGCAACAACTATTTCCCAAGCACCTGCCTCACACACCAGCACCCTGAAAATTAAACAGCAGAGACAACAATTATTATTACAGCTAACATTTATCATGGAGCAGAAACAGTTTAAGCTCTTTACATAAATAACACACTTGATCCGCATGCCAGCCCTGCAAGGTGGCTTTCATTAACATGACCATTTTACTAATAGAGAAACTGAGACTCTGAGAGGAGAAGTGACTTACCTAAGGTCATGCAGCAAAAGCTGTAATTTGAACCCACATCTCTGATGCCAAAGTTTGTGAATTAAACTACCACATAGTATCTCAAAAATTTCAGGAGATTACTCTCCATCAATACATTTCTGAATACATACTTCCAATATGCTTGAATGTTTATGTTATATGTAATATAAAACACACCAAAAATTATACTCCGTGCTTGACCTTTATCCCTTCCTCTGGGGGTAGATAGCATCAGGCTTATCGTCTCCATGTTACAGATGAGATCATTAAAGTCTAGAAAGGTTAAGTAACCTGCCCAAAGTTACACAGCTTTGAAGTGCAGAGCAGGGATTTGAACTTTAAGAGGATGGAGTATGGGATGGGGTACAGGGAACACAAAGAGAGTATTGTGGGTGAGGAAGCTGGTGAGTGGAGGCAGCTTGAGGTGTCCCCTTTTCCCCTTCTAAACCTAGGGTTGGGAGTGGGGAAGGGAAGAGAAGGCAGAGCCTTTCTCTTCCATGCTGGAGCTAGAGCCTATGCTGTATGTGGCCTGCGTAGCCAAGAGGCACAAAACTGCTGAGCGGGGTGGGCACAGAGCCAGCAGCTGAGATTTGACTGAGACCTAAAGAATGAGGCTCCTATTGAGCAAAGGGAAGTAACGGAAGCAAGTGGTGGCATTTCCCACTCCAGAGAGCACATGCTGGGGGAAGATAAGGAAGACAGGAAGCTGAGCCGTTCAGTGCCGCAGCTCCAGTGGGTGAGGAGAGGCCCCGCCAGGGCTGCAGGAACCCCGCTGAGCCAGGGCCTGGCAGTGCGCCCAGCTGGACTTCAGAGGACCAGCCTGTCCCTCCCCTGTAGCTACTGAAGATAGGCAGTTTAACCAACTAGGCCCAACTCAGATAACACTGGAGGGTGGTCCCTTCAGAGATCACCCCCATCTTAGGACATGGAATAATAACAAAATTTCTCGGGAACTTACAGTGTGCTGGGCACCATATTAAGGAAGCAGAGTACATGTGTTTTATTCTTACTAGTGCCCTACAAAAAGTATGAAGAAACAGCCATTGTTGCCATTTTACAGATGAGGACATGGAGGCGCAGAACAGTGAACTGACCCACTTGAAGTTACCGACCTATTAAAAGATGGAGCTGGGACTCAAACCCAGGTGAATTGGACTCCAAAAGATACTTTCTTAACTATGACACCATCCTATGAGGATAAATGAGATGACTCACACAAAGTGCAGGAACGCAGTACGTATTCAGTAGGAGGGAGAGATAAGACAGGAGCCTGGCTTTGGGGGCAGCCAACAGAATGACCCTGCAGCAGGAAGAATTGAGGGTAGATATTAATTATGATTTCCTGAAGGGGAAGCAAAGGAATGGATAGGAGTCTTACTCAAGATTTTCCCCTGAAGACACTCATACATCTCATTTTAGGGGACACGAAAAGAAGCCCCATAAAGTCAGGATGGTTCCAGCTCTGGGCTGCCCAGTAAGTGGTGGGAGTTTGGTATAACTGGCTTGGTTCCTGCCTATCTTTTCAGCCTTATCTTTCCATGTACTCCAGTCTCAGCCAAATATGTTCCTTCTGGTTTCCTGAACACAGAGCATACAAATGTTATCTTTTTCACTTTCCTTATCTGTCTTCATATAAACAGAAGTTCCTAAATTTTAGGATGATCAACTTTATCGATCTTTTCCATTAGTTCTTGCTTTTTTGTGCCTTCTTTAAGAAATCCTTCTCTACCTGGGATCATGTAGCTATTCTGTTTATCTTCAAGAGCTTTTAAATTTTGTCCTTCACTTTTAGGGGTATGGTGTAGAGGTCAAGATGGGTTTCTTTTATGTGGATATCCAGTTGTTCGAGCACCACTTATTGAAAGTCTGCCCATCTTCATACCTTACAGATCAAGAGTTCTCATGTGTTCTTCAAGAGTGTCTTGCCTATTTTTATATACTGAACTCCTATACATAAATTTCACAATCATTTTATCAGGTTGATGGGATTTGGGTTGGTATTGCATATCATGTATTAATGGCCTTGGGGAGAATTGACATCATCACAATATCGAGTCATGTAATGCATGATGGAGTGTGTCCCTTCATTTATTTATTGATTTATATTTTTTTTGGTGTCTCTCAGAGTTTTATAAGTGTCTCTCTAGACATGTTGCTCATCCTTTGTTTTATTTTTTTCCCCCTAGGTCCTTTATATTTTAAAATGTTATTGTAAATGGTACTTAAAAGAAATTTCATGTTTTAACTGCTTATTGCTGGTATACAGAAATATTGATAATTTTGTTGCATTTATTCTGTATCTAGAAACCTTAGTAACTTTTATTTATTCCAATAATTATAGATTTTTATGGGTTTTTAAATATGCATAGTCATATCACTAGATGATAGTGACAGTTTTATTTCTTCCTTTCAACTTTTAAACTTATTTATTTTTCCCCTTAATTTATTGTTCTGGTTACAGCCTATAGTACAGTGTTGACAAGAAATGAAAGAAAATAGAAGAGAGTATTCATGTCATTTTCCTGGCTTAAAAAGGAAAGCTTTCAACATCTTGTTACTAAATATGATGTTTGCTGTATGGTTTATTGTTTTTGTTGTTTAAATATACTTTATCAGATGAAGAAAGATTCTTTTTATTCCTAGTTTGCTGAATTCTTATGTTTTTTGAGGTTTTCAAATCCTTTATCATTATCATATGAAATGATCATACTATTTTCCATAGTTAATTGTTAATGTGGCAAATATATTGCTTGCCTAGTGCTAAACTAAACTAACCTTGCATTGCTGAGATAAACCTCTTCATGAGGTATTATCCTGTTCACATATATTTTACTCTTCTGCTATTTTTTCCAGACTTCTCCAAATCCTCCCCAGCCCTTCAAAACCCTATCCAGATACCACCTCCTCCTCAAAGCCCTCCCAGATGCTCCCAGCCTGACATGACTTCTCACTCTTCTCATAAAACCAATAGAACTTTGCTTCCCATTGTAGCTACATCCTCACATTCTATCTCCTTGTCTTTTCTTCTAGACTGTAAACTCCCGAAGAGCATCTTTGTACTCTCTTCCCAGCCCACTCCCTCCTCCCAGGACCCAGAGCAGAGGTGGTATAGGAGTGAGGCCATGGACTCTGAGGTAAAGCTGCCTGGGTTCACATCTTAGCTCCATCACTTATTAGCTGTTGGATTTAGGGCATGCCCTTGGCCTAAACCCATGAGTAAAATCTGAGGAATAATAGAACCTGACTCACAGATTTCTTATGAGATAAATGAATCACGTAGCACGTACTATTTCTGTTTGCTTCTTCCACAGCAGTTGCCACTACACACTATGCTTGTACTACTCTGAACTGCACATGAGTTATGTGCAATAGCTTCTGAGAGCCATTTTCTCTTCTTCGTTTATTTCCTCTAAAGCTGTTCACATGCTGCTTCATTCTTTTATTTAACTGAGCACTTACTGTGTGCAAGGACGTGAAGCACACAAGACCCCTGTTCAGAAGCAGACAATCAAGTAAGGGAGAGAGAAATATAAACAGACAATGATGACACAGTATGATTAGTATTAAGATAGAGGGCTAGGGTGGTGGAAGACTGGGGCTGGGAAGCATGGAGGGCATCTAACTTAGGAGAATAGAGTCCTCTAACTTAGCCTCGGGGTCAGAGAAGACTTCTCAGACGAGATGATTCCTAAGCTGGTCCTTAGTGAGGGTTGGGAGTGGGAGTATGGCAGAAGGTGTTGGGAAAAGATGTCTCAGATACAGGGAGAAGGGGCAAAAGAATATAATATGGGAGAAGGAAGAATATAACATGCTTGAGAAATTGGTAGTACTTAGGTAAGGCCAAAACAGAATAGGTGGTGAGGAGGGAGAACTTATATAAAGAGGTAAGCAGGAGTCCAATGAAGAACCTGTCATGTAATACCAAGAAGTTGAAACTTCATCTTGAGGTGATTCTCATCCCCTTATTTGGCCCACCTAACACCTATTAGAGAAGGCGACACCTGCTCCAGGAAGTCTTCTCTGTCTTCATGTCCACAAGTCTGGTTGGACAGACCCTCTGTTCTATTACAGCTCTCTTTCTGCTCATCACAGCCCTTACTTCTTTCCATAATTGTTTAAGCATCTGTTCTCCAAACCAAAAGCTGTAAAAGGGCAGGCAATGTGTTTTAACATTCCTGTATGACCAGCCTAGCAGAGTTCCACAGCAAATGCTCAGCAGATGTTTATAGTATGAATGAAAAAATAAATAGGATGACCAGGGAAAATTGTCACTGGCAAAATGCCTGGCATATAATTGGCCTTTAGAAAACTATTTAATTTTTTTTGTGCCTCAAGCTTTGTCATCTGGAAAATTGGGATAAAACATAAACTATTCTCAAAGGGGTATCACAGATCTGTGAATTGCTTAACTAAGGGTCTGATACTTAGTGGCAAGGATAATTCTCAGAATGTTAAAAACAAACTTCTCATATAATTAGGAAGTAAGCATGAGTCAAAGTTTCATTTTGGGACTAGGAGGGTGACAAAGCCAGTACTAAATAGAATATATAAAAGCTGAAGTTTTTATAGTCAATGAGAAAGGAAAAATATTGAAATGAGATTGCTAAATTATATACAATATGGATTAAGGTCTTAAGGGCAATTAAATCAAAGCCTTTAGGATTAGTTTCTCTACTAGAAAGAAAGGAAATCATCATATCTTATTACTGTGAAATGTCTGGGCATTTATCAGTTGTGTAAATAACATTAAATTTCTCTTCAGAGGCAGATGACTTTTAAGTAGACTTTCTAGTCAATGCTTTATGATGATATAAAAAGGTCACACATCATCTTTTTACTTTAGTAACATGTTTTGGATAGTGTTTCTTAACCCTATCAAGTTTAATTTATAGATACCATTATTATTAAGGCTTTCAATAAATGTTTGCTGGATGGATTTTCTATTAGACATTTTCCTTCTTGCCTGCTGCAGGGTTTGGGGCCTAGATGGCAGGCAGGCTGAGGGGGAGATCCTGTAGGACACCTGGCCTGCGGGCTCTTCCCTTCCTCGGCCTGGGATGGTGTCGCTCTAATGGTGTAGCAGCAAAGCAGGCACCCTCCCCCCAATAAGAATATATTTCTTGATATTTCCAAAAAGGCAGTGAGTGAATAAAATCAGAAATTTGTTGGACACTATGCATTTGTTTTTTCCATTTTTTAATTTTAAAAATTGCAGTAAAAATACATATAATAAAATTTATTTACTATCTTAACCACTTTGATTGTACAGTCCCATGGCATTAAGGACAGTCACATTGTTGTGCAAACATGATTACCATCCATTCTACAGTTCCTTTCATCTCACAAAACTGAAACTCCCTACCTATTAAACAATAGCCAATCCCCCCCATCCCCAGCCCCTGGCAACCACCCTTCTGCTTGTCTCTATGAATTTGACTACTCAAGGGACCTCATACAGTATAAGTGGTATCACACAATATTTGTTTCGTGTCTGGCTTATGTTACTCAGCATAATGTCCTCAAGTTTCATCCATGTTGTAGTGTATGTCAGAATTCCCTTCTTTTTTAAGGCTGAATCATATGCCATTGTATTTATAGACCCCATCTTGTTTATTCACTCATCCATTGGAGGACACTTGCATTGCTTCCACCTTTGGGCTCTTGTCTCCACTTATTTTATAGTATAGGATTATTTTTGTTTTGAATTGCACATGAAGGATGGGCACCATTTTCAGGGTTTGAGATCTCAAAGTCAAGGCCTAAAACTAATCAGACTATGAGACCATTTGTAATCTATTAGACCATTTGCGTAACTACACCCAGGATGGCTAGGTTTCTCTAGGCTGACTTAGCCACAGGTCTGAGTTCAATTGAACACAGGCATTCTAAAATGTGTTCTGGGGCTCTGACTAAGGATTCATTGCTCTCAATATTTGGACATACAGGAGACAGGGAAATTCAAGCATTTCTAAAAAGCAACAGATGGGAAATTTCCCAGGAATAAGCTAGTTATTTCATGACCGTCCAAAAGTATGTAGCTGGCAAGCTCTGCCCTGGGAGCTGGGAGAAATCTGCTTGAACCATATGACCTCCAGATGCTAGAAAAGGAATTCCCGGATACTTCCCTGCTAAAAGTAGTAAGAGAAATAGGTCAAAGGAGAACTAGAGTGTCTTGGCTTCTACCTTCAGGGAATTGAACTTTCTACTCTGACTTTCCAGCAAAATGGAATGTTGAATGTAGAATAATGTGAAACTAAAGCTAGAGGACACTGCAGAAGTCAGTCACATCTCCACTTTTTAAATCCTGTATTGGCCTTTTATTTATGTATTTGTCATTAATCTCATAAGTGCAATAGAATATACACTGACTGGGTCCAAATCTTGGCTACACCACTAATTCAGTGTGAGATATTTGTTGTCACTAAAACTCCAGTTTGTAAAATCTGTGCTGCCATTTAAAAAAAATCTGTAAAATGGTGATAATCAATAATGCTGTCTCAGAAGGTTGTGGTAAGGATTAATGGTGTTAAAGCATATAAATTACCAAGAACAGTGCCTGGAACACAGTCAGTGCTGTATACATGCTTGCTATTATAAATAACATGTTGCCATTTTCTT